CTGAACCCGGAGTGGGAGAAGCAGACCTAATGCATGCAAGAAGTCCTGGATTTCGAGTCCTGGGAAGGCGGAGCCGATAGGGCCCGAACCGAGAACGCTCAAGGTCACTGCGGTGACCGAGTGAAGGTCACAGGGAAAGGCGGGGCCACGTGCGTCCGCCTCACGCGGGCAGCCACGCATTGACTCACGGACCATGTACAGAAGACTCTTTTATTTCTCTAAGGCTCAAAATCCACATGGACATGGTCGGGCTTGGATCTGGGACCAGGGCTGGAGTCGGGCGGTCACTCGAGCCCGAGGCGGTGCTCTCAGATCACCATGACTTGCAGCCTCTTGTTCCGTCGCCTCTTGAGCCCCTCGATGTATCGCTGCAGCTGCTTGGTCAGGAAGTGGTCCCGGCCGATCTCCGATCGGTAACCTGGAGGGCAGAACCCAACTCAGGGCAGTGAGCAGGGGCATGGCCTCCCCCAGCAGCTGGTCTTTGTTCTTTGGGGAACTTTGGATCTCCAGGGTCCTGGGACCTGCCTGTTTTGTTTGTTTCGAATGGTCAAGTCATAGACCTGTGCTCCAAACAGATGGGGGATTCAGAGTAGGATGGGGGTGTTGGAGTGGAGGATGGATGAGGAAGGCAAGTTTAGAGAAGATGTTGCCGGCCTGAATTAGGGCACTGGGAGCAGGCAGCTTTTGGGACACCGCTTCGACCACCCAGTCTCAGCCATTAGCCCTCCCTACCCCACCCCCACATTCATAAGCTAAGCAGGGCAAATCAAAGGAAGTTTACTCAAATAATCCACTGTCCAAAGGCTCCTCACAGCAACGAGGGAGGGGCCAAGGCCACGGAAAGGCTGTCATCCCCAATGGGCAAGTGAAGAAATAGCCTCAGAAAACCTACATCAGGTTGAGAGGGGCTGCACTGAGGCTAGAGCCCAGGCCCTTGACGGTCACCCCATGCTGTCCCCATTGGGTGTCCCTGTGCCCAGTCTCCTAACTTTTTACTTTTCATGGGGCTTCTGGAATATTTGTGGGTGGTAAGGGAATCTGACAAGGCAGACACATCCTGAAACCCCACTCCCACAGGCCGAAGCCCTGCCAAATCCCCCAAAGTCTCTTGTGGGAGCTGGGGGGATGGGGAGTGGGGAGGCTCACTCCGGAGGGCTTTGGTGAGGATTTCCAGAGCTTCATTCTCCATGAGTTCAGTCAGGGGCAGGGGCAGCTGGAGAGGCAGCAAGAGACTCAGATGTACAAGGGACCCCAGCTCTGCCCACAGCTGGAATGCCCCACCTGCTCCCTCCAGGCCCGAGACCCTCAACCGACCTGCCTGCCCCTCCACCCTGCAAAGCCCCCCCACCCTCTCACCCGTGAAACCCCCAACTTGCCCATCCCCCACCCCCTACTAAACTCCCCAGTCTCCTTGGGTGCCTCCAACCCTGCTCTGCTGCTCCACCCAGTAGGCTCGATGGGGTGTGTGCTTCGAGATATTGAGCGATGACACTGAGGAAGACTTTTCTGGGAGAAGAGAAAAAAGGGATCAGTCATCTGCTGAGACTTCCCTGGAGCAGAGGGGATGTATGGGTAGGCATGTTGGCTGGGGTGGGGGTGGGAGGCCTTCAGAGACCAGCTCCAGGTGCCACTTTAGTGGGAAACAGGATGGGACAGTGGTTTAAAGCCTGGGCTTTGTTGTCCCACCCTCCGAGGTTCCAGTTATGACTGCCCCACTGTGTGAGACTTAAGGCCAGTGACTGACTTTCTGACCCTCAAGTTCTTCATCTGTACAATGGGATAATAAGAATGGCCCCATATGGAGGTTGTGAAGTTTAAAGGCGATCATGCAAGGGAAGCCCAGTGCCTGGCACAACAGCAAGTGCTCAATAAATGGCAGTTGTTATATTGTTATATGTTCCAATTCCCTGATGAAGGGCTGGAGAGCAGAGGTGGTGAGGAGAAAGGGGAGGCATGTCCCAATCAGCGCACAGCGCAAAGTAGGAAGTAAATACTTAAAAATTGTAACCAATGACTTAATGAATGAAAGACAGGCACCTCCCCAAGCAGCGCAAATACACAGAAAAGGCATTAACTCCCTCCTTTCAACTATCCGGGTGATTCCATTAAAAGCACAAGCCCTACCGCGCTGCCCTTGCGCATTTTCCTGCTCGTCTCTATGACCCCAGGACTTTGTATGACGCCTGCCCGGTAGGGGGCGTTCCTAGAAGGTCTGGTTGATTTAAAGCGTGGAAGATTAGCGTTGGCGCCCCTTCCAGGGAATCCTAGAAACTTGGGTCCCACAGTTTTCCCCCATTTTACAGCAATAGAAACTGAGGCCCTGGCCATCCCCCTGCCCTGTGGGCGCCCACAGCCCGGTGAAGCCACACTGACCGTCGTCGGTCTTGGACTCGTCCTCCTCTAAAGGGCCTCCCAGAGAGCTGCCACGGCGCATCTCCAGCTCCGTCAAGGCGTGCACGTCCAGCTCCTCTGGCTTGAAGCTGTCCTTGTCATCTCCGTCATCCGATTCTTCCCAGCCACCGTCCGAGCCGTGGCCAGCCTTCTGGTTGTAAGACCAGGGAGTCTTGCCGCCTACGAGGCTGCCCTCCAGTTCCGAGTCCTCACAGACAGTAAATAGCGGTACATTCAGCTTCGGCTGCGACTGCGTGGCCGTGGTCCACAGATTCCGGATGTCGTGCGGGCTCGACTTGCCTGAGCCATGGTGGCCCGAAGACTTGGCCAACGCCTGTGGGCCACATACACCGAGGGAAGCCAAGGGTCGTGGGGAATTGGGGAGGAAAGGAAGAGCAGGCTGGGGGGGGGGGAAATCCCGAGCCGTGGCCAGCCTTCTGGTTGTAAGACCAGGGAGTCTTGCCGCCTACGAGGCTGCCCTCCAGTTCCGAGTCCTCACAGACAGTAAATAGCGGTACATTCAGCTTCGGCTGCGACTGCGTGGCCGTGGTCCACAGATTCCGGATGTCGTGCGGGCTCGACTTGCCTGAGCCATGGTGGCCCGAAGACTTGGCCAACGCCTGTGGGCCACATACACCGAGGGAAGCCAAGGGTCGTGGGGAATTGGGGAGGAAAGGAAGAGCAGGGTGGGGGGGGGGGAAATCCTGAGCCCATCCAGGGCCGAGACTCAGTTGCCGGGGTGGGGATGGGGAGGGGGTGATGGTTGGGAGCTGCCCTGAGCCAGGGCTGAGTGAGAGGATAGCCAGGGAGGGGCCCAGGGTGGACCTAGGATGAGTCTGGGGGCTGACAGGGTGAGGAGGACCAGGAAGAGTTCTTACTTTGAAAGGCTTTTCCTCCATGGCTCTGCCCCAACGGACCCAGTCGCCAAAGGCCTCGGGGCGAGGAGGAGGGGGTCACGCTCCAGGAAGGGGGAGGGGCAGGGTCCCGTCCAGAATGGCGATGGGGGTCTCGCGCGGGGAAGGGTCAAGATACAGCCCTCCACACTAGATGCCATTATGACTCCGCATCCCTGCCCCCATAGCTGTACTGAGGATGGACTCACCGCCCATTTTGGCAGATTCCCATGCCAGACCCTACCCTTAACCTCCAGGCAGAGACACCGGTCCAAGCACAGCCAAGAGTGCCACGCCTTGGCCGATGGTTCTGGTGGTGGTGGGGGAGGGTTCGGCCTGGGGGTCGGGGGTGGGGCCTGACTTGCCCCGGAGGTGGCCCGACGACGCAAGCACTCGCACACCCTCTCGCGTCCCCGGAGCTCCACGCCCGCAGCGATGCAGACTGTTTTCGTTTATTGATGCAGGCTTTGAGGCACAGTCGTGAGATGTTGTGAGGGACAGGCCCAGACGGACAACGAGACAGAAAGCCTTGGGGTTCTGGAAATGGATGAAGTGAGGAGGGGCCCAGGAGCAGAGAGTGGCAGACAAGCGACCCGTAGCCTCCTCCCCAGGTTTCAGTCGGGTCGGTCGAGAGAGGGCTCTTTGGTTAAACAAGCAGAGCATGCCGGGGAGAGAGCAAGAACGGAGCCCTTTGAGAGGCCCGGGCAGGGGTCTTGCCCCTACGCGGGCACGCCTTTGTCCCGGGGGCGCCCCGGGCCGCGGGGCCGCGCGGGCTTCCTGGGGGTGTTGAGGGGGCGGCGGCTACCCCGTGGAGCGCGGGGCAGTGCGCAGCCGCGCTCGCTCTGCGTGTCTGAGGACTCGTCGATGAAGGCCAGATTCTCGCTGGGGTAGTCCAGCGCGGAGGCCGTGGGCGGGGTGGGCGGCGTGGGCGGAGAGGGTGGCTCGGTCTTCTCCGGGGCCGCAGGGGATAGGGGCCTGCTGGCGGGCTGCGCTGGGCACGGCGGCGGAGGCAGGGGTGGCCGCTCCTTCTCTGGCGGCGGTGGTGCAGTGGGCCCGACTCGCTGGGTCACCCGCGCGGTCACCGTGCCGGTCCAGCTGGCAGCCTGCGCCGTGAGGCCGCCCATCTGCGCGGGGAGGAAAGGCAGTCCTCGACCGGGGCTCCTCGACCGTCTCCGCAACCCCGGGAGCCTGCCCCTTCTCCAGTCAGGCATTGCCCCTCTTTTCCGCCTCGTCTTCCTGACTCAGGAGTGGGAAAAGGCCGGAGGAGGGAAGAGCTCATCACCCAGCCACATGCTCTCCCCTCCTCCATCTGCGCGGAAGTGCCCTTTTCTCCAGAAGAAAAGACCGACCGGACTTTATTTCAGCCCTCCCTCCCGTGCCCCCAGAGACCTGTGCGCCTCCCCCCTCTCCACGGCCGGGAGCAAGGAGCGGGGCTACAAAATATTTAGAACAATAAATAAAAATACAACAACAAGTAAAATTTTAGTGTAAGTATGTCCCATGCAATATTTGGGACATTTATACTCAAATATTATTTGCAACTTATCCAAAATTCACATCAACCGGGCTTCCTTTATCTTTATTTGCTAAATCTGGTAACCTTATCCATGAGAGTAGAGATGGAGTCACCTGCAAACCTGTCAGAGTTTATCGCTCTGTTCCCGGCCGGTGCGTACTGGGGCTCCCTCAGTCCCTGCCTTGGGGAGCCCACACTCTGGAAGGGAGGCAGACTAGTCAACCTGCTGCTGGTGAGCAGCGCATCAGCGCCAGGGCGCAGGCGCGGTGTCGACGCAGGGGCGCCTACCTCTGCCCGAGTACGGCGGGACACTACTCGCAGCCAGTTCCCGATGGTGGTGAGCACTGAAGCGAAGTAGGCCAGACCGAGTAGGATCCAGAACCACACCAGCGGCTGGTAGGCTGCAGAGTTCTGGTTGGTGCTGGCTCCTGGGACGCCACGGGGAGGGCAGAAAGAAGTTGACTGTGAGACACGCCTTGAGCCTGTGAGTCTCTGGTTCACTGCCCCTCTTCCCAACTCGTTGAGAGGATCCGCCCTCCCCAGGACAGTGGGTATGAGCTAGAGTGCGCGAATGGATGCAAGAAGACGAGTGGGAGTGACTTGAAGGTGTGCAAGAGAAGAGTAAGTGGGGTGCTCACGTGCAAGAATGTGAGCATGTGTGAGGGGTGCACGTGTACAAGAATGTGGCACGTGTGAAGGGGTCACTTACTATATGTGAGCATGCGTGGGGTGCAAGCATGCAAGAATGTAAGTGGGCATGAGGTGTTGGTGCATCCCTGGAAAAATGTGAGGGTGCACTCAGTGAGTGGATGTAGGGATTGGAGCAAGCACGTGTGAGCACACAAGCGCCCTGTGGAACTTGGAGGGAGAGGCAAGATTGCAGAGCCCCTGGGCAGGAATAAAATGGGTAGGGAAGTGCAACCCAAGAAAGTGGCCTCACCGGCCACATAGTCCCCGAAGCCCACCGTGGTGAGCGTCACCACGACAAAGTAGATGGCCTCCAGCTTGCTCCAGCCCTCCACATAGCAGAAAACGAACGTGGGCGTGAGAACGAAGAGCAGGCAGCCGATCAGCAGAAAGAGCACCGCCGATAGAATTCGCACCAGCTCTGGTGGCACCTGCCACTTCTGCAGGGAGGGCAGTAGGCAGGGCCGAGGAGTCACCAAAGCCTCCAACTCTCACACCCCACAACCCTCTTCTGGGAGCCCGTGTCCGAGGTTCGCGCGATTCAGGCGCCCCCCGCTCACGTGCCAGGTGGGTATGTAGGGAAGCGTATCCCGAGCCCAACGCAAGGGCGCACAGGGTGTGGAACAGCTCACCAGGAAGATGGCTTCGATGTGACCAATGCCGCGGCGTAGGGAGGAGCCCAGCCGGTCCCCGACCCCTGCCAGCAGTATCCCAAACAGCGGGATCCCCACCAGTGCATAAAAGATGCAGAAGAGGCGGCCAGCATCTGTGCGCAGGGCCGCGTTGCCATAGCCTGGGCAGAGAGGTCGTGCAGCAGCTCTAGGGGTTGCCTGGCACCCCCCTACCTCCCCCTGCGCCTTCGCCTGTGAGAAAGCCCAGCCACCCCGTGCCCCCTCCCATTACCAGTCCCCTCCCCCACCGATGGTGGTGATGATGGTGCCTGAGAAAAAGAAGGCGCTGCCCAGGTCCCAGGCTGAGTGGTTGCTGTTACTGGTTGAGTTGGTGTCAGGGTTTGCACCCCCTCCCAGGGCATCAGCCACTTCCTGCAGGACAAGATGCAGAAGGAGGAACCTCAGTCCTTCCCTCCCGTCCTAGCCAAGCCCCTGGCCGTCCAGTCTCCAAGGTGTTTCCCTCCTCACCCCTCCCAGCTCTCCCCTGCCCTCTGGTCTTCCTGAAGGCAATCCCTTAGAGCAGACATAGCAAATTGGAGAGCCCAATTTTGTTTGACCAACACATTGTTTTAGAGACATTTGAATTATCGGCCCCTTAATTTCATATAAATTTCCAGTTTTACAGTGGTCAGGAGCACAGATTCTGGGACCAGACTGCCTGGGTTCAAATCTTGGTGCTAGGTGAAGTTGAGCTGTGCATCAATTTCTGCATCTATCATTTGGGGATGGTGATAATAGTACCTACCTCATAGAGTTATTGTGAAGAGTTAAAGCACTCACATCAAAGCAAGCACTGTGTGTTTGTGAAATTAGTCCCCATGTAGAGATCATGCCCAGTGAGTTCCAGCTTTCCACAGACCCCACTACTCCCACTGCCCCTTTGGAAGCTGAGTTTGAGTCCCTTGCCTTTGAAAATCTGATGAAAGTTAGGGACCCTCCCTCCAGGAAGGTTCACATACCAATAAATTTTGCATCCAGTTTTAGGAGGGGCATGGATACACAAATCCCTGCCCATCCTGCTGACGTCCAAACCAATCCCTGTGCTA